GTATGTTGTCCTTCCGGATTACAGGAGCAGCAGCTTAAAGCATAAAAGCGTTTCCTCGACGCCCTCGTCCTACGCCAGTCGAACTGAGTTACAAGGCACGACAATGTTAGATATTTCTCCAGTAATCTGAGCCGAAGCCTGGAAATGTCGCTTCGCCTGCTACGTGGTTTGCGAAAGAAATCTGCGCATCTCGTATATTGGTTAAACGTACTCCAATTATCCGCTAAACTTCTGCAATCGAAACGTTTCTCATGATATTCAAGACAGAATCGACAGACTGCTCTTCTCTCAGAAGAATTCATGCAAAAGTCATAAAGAGTTTGTAGTTCTTCAGCTATTAGACCCATCAGTAACCAACTGTTTCAGGGTTCATGATAGATCCTTCAAACTAGAGCAACGACAATGATCAATATGGTCTCTGAGTTTTATTGTATTCTGCATTATACGAAAAGGAGACGAAACTTGCTTGACAGACAGAACTTAAATAAATCATCGAACTGAATTACCGTTTTACCACCCTCAATCTCAATCTTCTTGGCGCCGCTAATGACTTTGCTGCCAACCGTTCCCTGAACACAGTAGCCTGGCATTATGACCTAAACATCGAAAATGACATTAACAAAACAAACGAGCATAAACTGTTGCTCGACCATGTTGCGTTCGTCTGGTGCCCACTTTTTGAACACCTTCAGAGACTGTCCGGAATGCAGCATTCCAGGAGTAGCGAACAGCACCATCGGTCCAGGCTGATCAGCAGCCGTGTTGTCGAACGGCTGCAAGTGAGCACGACCATGTTTTGCACCACGTTGACGTATGACCACATACCTGAATGCATCGAAATTCGAACATGTTCCTACGAACGAACGTCTTTTTGATCTTCTCATTGGTCCACGTGATGAACAGCTTGTAGTAGTCGTTAGCCTTCAGCAATTTTATCGTGAATAAGTCACTCCGGGCACAAAGTGCAACCACTCTCAAAAGTGTATTACCTTTTCGGCCAGTCCTGGAGAAAAGTAGACGGGTACCTGCAGGTTGAGTCGTTCCCAATAAGACTCCAACAGGATGCACAGTTCCTGGGCACGACCGAGTGCGAATACCGGAATCAGTACTTTGCCACCGCGTCGCACGCAATCATGAACCTTGCGCAGGAAGTCACGCTCGCGAGCACGTTTCGACTCGCGAATCGTCGTAGCGTATGTCGACTCAGAAATCAGAAGGTCCGGAGTACAACGACTGATCTGGGCGGCGCCCAAATGACGATCCGGCGTCATATTGTAATCACCCTAAATAAGTAACATAAAATTACACAAACGATACTTCTACCGGTGATTAAACATTTTATAACTGACTTAATAACCGCTGGAAAGGTGAAGGGTTCCCAGGGAGTGATTCAAGGCGGAAACGAAGGCGAAGACAAAATGTCAGTTACAGTCTTCGCCCTTTTTGCAAGGACAATCAACTAGAAATTGCTTGTTGTACGTAGCTTCAAATTATAAACTGCATTACGTTAAAGATACCTACAAATTATGACTGCCGCTTTCTAGGTCACTGTTTCTCATTACGAAAGTATTACGCTGTGCTTATAACAAACGTTATTCAGAGTTGTCCCCTTCGTTCATGATTTTCTTTAACCACTTCATTTCCTTGTTTTTATTCGACCTCTCAACAGTAGGCCTTTAGTCTGTATATTTTCTTCCTCCTCTTCATGTACATTTTTCCTTATCCTTACGCTTTTTTACCGATTCAGCTTGTTTTAATCGTTTGAAAATCTTATACGACAATATCATGCACATATTTATCTTGGTATGCCCCTGTATGATTGTCCTTTTGATGAGCTACTGAAATCTAAGACATCCTGCTCATCAGTAAACATTTGAATTTTCCATTATTCAGTTCAAACGTGGGCGGCTTTACCTCGTAGCATTGCAGGGAAGTGGTAGCTCTACAGGTAGCGAGTTCGAATCTACTGAAGGCATAGTGTGTGTCTTAGCAGCGAATTCCTCTGAGCAAGTAATGAACCCTACTTCATTTTAGCGCAAACAGAAGTAAGTAAGAAAACGAACAGTAAGTTGGTGATTTGCGAATAACAGAAACGATACAGTATTCTGGTGTATTTACATTAAAAGGAGTGAGGTGTACGGCGGTGCTGAATGTTATGAGCGCCGTTTGCGGTCACACTTCGCTCTGACTCGTCTGACAGCAGACTATCTCGTGTAATAATCAGCATAAGATATAATAAATTTTAACAACCAACGTAAAAACTTCCACAGAGAGCCTTATTATCTAACGCTAATTGCTTATCCATCGTCCTCAGGACGAGAAAATTATCACACTGAGCAAAATAACTTTACCGTATAAACGATGGACTCAGATCCGACGCGAACTTCAAAAATCGCCGCACCGATAACATGCCCACCGTAATATGCCTTGATCTGGAGATCGTTTTTCACCTAAATACCATATATAAAAAACGAATACATACTTTAAATATACCGTTACAGCATATACAGAATATACATCAACGAAACAACGGCATACGGCGGCGATCAAATGAATATCGTATAAACAGAAAGAGACAAGGAACGAGAAGCTGAAAAATGAAAATAAGTAGATAGGGGAGGAAAAGGTGCGCTGAAACAATTGCTTTAGATCATTTGCAATGTTCGCTGCATAGCAGTTTTTCAACACTGTTGCCATAAGGCATGTCATAGTTACCGCAGTTTAAATGGCTATGGAGCAAAAAATGAAGAATGAAAAAGAGAAATAAATTGTCACTGACGCAACTACAATATCAATTTCATGCTTAATTAAGCAATGCAGCTTAATCAAGCTTAAACAGCTCAAGTTCTCCATAAAACCAAACTGCTGCTAGGAGGTAAGAAACAATCATGGTATGAAATCGCATGCGAAGGCTAAGAATAATGGAACGCACACTTTCGAGCAGCTATGGAATCGCTGATAGCCTGTAGTAAAAATAAAAAAAGAATGAATCTTGAACTAGGTGACTAACAGAACACCCACTCCGCAACTCTGCTACTATCGATACAACATTCATGAAAGAGAAAGAAACGCTACGGAAGGAAAGGTCTGGACACGTTTTCACCATTATGTGAAATACATGATATTCCATTATGCAGTCTACTTAATGGCCGAGTACGACCAGTACAAAATAAGGAGGTAAACCAGGGAAAAAACAAGGTAACGATCAGCCTCAAAACAGAAAACAAGCAGCGAGGTGGAAAGGAAAGTTTTAATAGGTACACACACGCATCTTCGACTACAGCTTACCTTCACAACTTCATTCAAGCTGACGGGAATAACTTTTTTCATACAATCTTTGATCATCTGGCTGGTAAAAAAATTGGAATCACCGCGATAGTCAACTTGAACTTTACGGTAATCCTCCTAAATGTATAAAATTATAAAAACATTAGAGTACGTTAAATGACTACAGTACGAGAAGCACGGGAACGATAGCCTTCGTTGGATAGGTCATGTATATAGGACCGTTGTAGCCGACCATTTCTGACATGTGAGGCAATGCACCCGAGTGATCCAGATGGAAATGGCTGCAAAAGTTTTAAATTTAAAATGGACTGAGTTGGCGACCTACCTTATTATAACGCAGTCAAGAAATTCTTCAAGTTTAGCTTGTTTGGTTATGTAGGAAAAATCTGGGAAACGACGCTGAAATGAAAATGTTAGCAAACTGGTTTTAATTCGACAGACAGGCAGGACGCCAATTAATATATCAGTGTTTCTAAATTTTTAAAAAATTTAGTTTACAACAGGGATAATAATGAAGGAACAGCGAAAAGAGTTAAAATTTCGAAGCTGATGAATTTAAAACGCATATCGCAGTTATAAAAACGCAAAACAGAAAGTCGCAGAGGACACCAAGTGTGGTGCTAAACATGTGTATTCGGTATCTGTTGAGTGTTGTTCAAGCTGTTTAAGCTATCTGTTGAAGTATCTAAGGTATCTGTTGAGTAAATGTAACATTTACCAGCAAAATTGGAAAGATGTCATTCGTGGTAGCTATTCAGAAACATCGGCATTATATATACCTCATTTTTACTATATATTTGCCTGCGGATAGTGCCAAATTGCTTCGAATGCGCCTTCATTCAGCTAAACCCAAAGATACTGTCATGCGTCTGATGCATTGCAGATACCTAAATGCCTTGGAGTCACGACCTGCCCAAATTATCATTTTCCGGCGGAGTTAGAAAGCTATCATTCCTAGTAACTAACCAGAAATATTGGGGGCTATGTCCACATTCGTCTAGAGAGTGGCGACTTTTGTCTGTGCTCCAACATACCGTTGTTCAGGCCATCTGAGAAATGCGGTCAATTTGATGTATTGCATGAACTTAAATACCATAAGCAGTGACCTGCTAAAACGGGCCCAAGGCGAATAGAAGCAAGGGAGAGGTGAGTTTTCGCCGTATAAATCTAGTATCTGTTAAAAGAAATGTAATATTTACCGACAGAACTGGAACGTTGTCATTCATATTACCCCAGAACATCTGGACCATACCTATCTTACTGTGTCTATAAAACAACTCAGTGAGTATTACGTCAGCCACAGACAATAATCTGATCCGCTAAATGTAACCAGAATATTCCAAAGAAGAATTCGAGAGCTGAACAATGCCATTAGACTAAAAGAGCGGACTGAAAATGAACCTGAACCTCAAGTTTAGCAAATAAGGCACGCCGTGGCTTTCTAAAGTCCAAGGACTTAGACTTGAAGCTGTGCAAAACCATATCTATCTGGGACAGTTCATCTCTGCAACAAAGAATCGAGAAATTAACAGAAGAATAAAATAAGCAAGAGGCACTTTTAGAAAACTGAAAACGCTCTTATCTGCGAAACTACCCCTTGAGGTAGAAACGGAAAGTTTTCGAACTGAAAACTGTGTCCTCCATCAGTGCTAACCTAAACAGAGGTCGAGTCAAGAGTCCTAGACACGAAACACAGAGAGTAAAAGACAAAAGTCGGCGATGTCAGGGTGATGACGAAGAGCAATGGGCCGCACATGCTGCAAGAAGAACCGACGATCGTTGGACCAGAGACAACAGAGTGAGTTCTGAAACAGAGGAAACAGCCAGTAAGAACTCCAGATCGATGAGGATGAGCTGTCGAAGTTCGCTGGGTGAAAATGACAGATAAAATATGTCTGTGGCAAGGTCTTGGAGCGACCTTCATTCAGCAATGGATCGACAGAGGCTGATGATGATTATGATGTTGAAAGTCAGTGCTCAACAGGTCTGACGAATAAACCGGCTGAAAACCGATATTTGGTCAGTTCCCGATGCAACAATATTACTACAAATGAACATTGTAAACAGTCATGGAGGGTAGTAATTTATGCGTAGGTCTCTGACTCATCAATTTGCAAAGATCGATTTACAGACAGTAAACAATTACCTCGTCACTGTATCCCATGTGCATACCGCAGTCAAGCATGACATTATAACCACCGATGGTTACCAGGATGCAACTGCGCCCAACTTCTTGACCAGCTCCTTGAAAAGAGGTCGGTTACCCGATCCATTTAATCGTTCGTTCGTGAACATAAAATTATACGTACCCAAAGGAACGACTTTGATCTCCGGCATTTTTATGCGACAGCTGCCAAGTGACCAGCTAAACGAGCTTTCTTGGTGAGTTTTTTCTACCACAACAGGATGGAAGGATTAACTAAAAGTTTTATTTTTACAACTTTCATTTTCACAGTTACTACAACAATTCAGAACAGAAATATCGCCGGAGAGGTTCTGAGCAAAATTTTGTTTTCAAGGAATGGCACGAACATCCTGACGCTATTTCATCCGTCGGCTGAGGGGTGGTGCCTGTTAAAAAGAGTAGTGTTTTTACCGGTCACAACATTTTTTAGAGTGTTTTCTTTAATATGAATCTGCTGTTCGATTTAACAACCTCGACAATTTTCTATGTTTTGTCAAATCAAGCAGAAGCATGTTTTAGCCAAAACATAACATAAATCGCCATACTTTGATTTCTTGGTACACCAAAGGTTCAAATCCTTGTAAATAACAACTCGCCTGCCTGTTACAAAAGTAGCTAACAGAGAGCCTATAAGAAGTACATTATAACTGTAAGGTAGCAGCTGCTTCAGATTTCATGCTGACTAGAAAAGGAGCAAAAGCTTTTTCCCTGACGTTCAACACAGCTCATTGCATCGCCAGACACAAGCCGTTGTTCACTTTTTGCTAAACCTTCCCTTTAACACATTTAACTTTGCGGCAATGACATACGGATTTCGA